TAGTAATAGTAGGAAGGTGTGGTTGGAGGCTGCTGGGTATGGGACGCGGAGGAGATCACAGCGAGCCAGCGGCAGTGCTGAAGCCAAGTCCCTGACTGCAATTCAGGAAAACTGTCACTGCACCGTAGCCGATCTGGTGGCCGTTCATCGTCTGCGTTCTGCAATGGCGACCTCTGCTGGACAAAAACTGTTATTGTTTTATATTAAAACTGCAATCTAGGCAGACACAGAAAACAACTTTCATCATTAATAACATAATTGGCGGACTACTGTAACCATTAACACATCGGTAGATGAATATAAAGTAAACACAAGCATTGTAAGTACCTGAATGGGACCCGGTGGCAGCCTCTTGCAGTCCCTGTACAGCAGAGCCTGCGCGTGAGAGGAAGAAGCACCACAAGGAGCCAACGTGCTGACAAGAAGCATGCTGGTAGAAGTAGAGAGCAGAGTAACAGGGAGATGAGCTCATCACACTGCTGCTTCACCTTTCACTGTCCAGTCACAGGCTGGGGGCTGGTCCGGACAACCTGGGCTCAGAGCAGGCCGGTTGAATGATGCTGGCCATCAGACTGAGGACATCTAGTGGCAGAAAAAAGTACTGCGGGTAAAATCTCCTGGTGGAAGTTGAATATATCGACAGCAGAAGCTTGTTTTATTTTTAATGAGCATTTTATTTTTTAGCTGGAGTTCTGAATGAATGAGTGTAGGTTGTGGTTGGAGACTCCTGGGTGGAGGGATTGCAGCGATCGCTGACATCAGTGCTTAAGTCAAAACCCTAATTCAAGGGTAAGGCAGCCTTGGCACTCCAGCTGTGCTGAAACTACAAATCCTGTCATACCTCTGGGAGTCATGCCTGTGGCTGTCGGAGCCTTGCAATGCCTCATGGGACTTATAGTCCCACAAAAGCTGGAGTACCAAGGCTGCCTACTGCTACTGGTAGGATCACCATCATTCAAGGGCTCTGTTCTGTGATGGAGACCTCTGCTGGACAAAAATTGCATTGCTCTTTAATAAGATTGTATCTGTTCAGCAGTCTAATAAAGTTTCATCCCATCGGATTTGTCTTTGGGGCAGGCGTGGGCAACTGCGGCCCTCCAGATGTGCTTTTACTACAAATCCCAGCATGCCTCTGCGAGTCATGCCTGTAACTGTCAGTCTTGCAATGCCTCATGGGACTTGTAGTTCCAAAACAGCTGGAGGGTCAGAGTTGCCCACCCCTGTTCTGGAGAAATGTTTTCCTGCTCGTTATCTGAAGATATTGTCTTCTAGTGCCGCCCAATTCTCTATAAATGTCTCTGCAACCAGACGGGGAGGATTAGAACCTCTGTTAGACTTTTATTGCCGTCTGTGTCCCTACCGGGGAGAAGCTCCCCCTCTACTGCTGGTGACCACCAAAGATAGAAAGTTATGGGAAAGCCAAAATTTTACACTGGTCACTGAAACAGTCATAAAAGAGAAATCTTACAGTGAATGAACTTCACTTTGAGGAGAATTTCTCTAACTTCCTGTTGGATATTTGGTGAAGGAAGTGAGAGGAAATCTCCCCAACAGGCCACAAACTGCAAAAGAAAGTCTGACAAGGGTTCTAACTAGGGATGCACAGATACCGATACTAGTATCAGTATGGGTGCCGATACCAAGTATTTGGGTGAGTACTCGTGCTTGCCAAATGCTCCCGAGGCCCATCCCGATACCCGAACTTCTGATACCAGGAAGCTGGGCACTGAGTCGTTACACGGGACCCGGCTTCCTGATTGGCCATGAAGCCGGCTCCATGCTCCTCCGTCACAAATACTCCGATGCCTATCCCGATACTGGAACTTCCAGTATGAGGAAGCTGGGCGGTGAGTCGTTACAGGGTGACAGCACTTGGTGACGAGGGAGCCGGCTTACCGGCCAATCAGGAAGCCAAGCGGCATGTAGCAACTCGCCGCCCACCTTCCTGATTGGTCGAGAAGCTGGCCAATCAGTAAGCTGGGCGGGAAGTCATTACCTGCCCCCCCCCCGGCTTCCTGATAAGCCAGATAGCTGACTCCATGCTTCCTCGTCACCTGGTAACAAGATAGCATGGAGCTGGCTTCGTGGCCAATCAGGAAGCCGGGGGCGAGTCATTACATGCCGCTCAGCTTCTGTAGTGGGACTTCCGGTATCGGTATTCTGTATCGGCCGAGTCATCACACGCGGCCCGGCTTCCGGTATCGGCGAGTACCAAAAGAAAATATGGTACTTGTACTCCATACTGAAAAATCGGTATCGGTGCTTCCCTAGTTTTAAACCTTCCCTACATCTCCCCATAACCAGAGAGGATTGCCCTCATCCAACTTCCTGCTGACATTTCACCAGACAGGAAGTGATGGATCTATCCAATAACAAGAATATGGCTTTTTATCATTATAGCAGGGGAATCCCTGTCGGATCTTTATGTCCACGCTGCTGGTGCAGGTTTTCCTCTCACTTCCTGTCTGGTGAAGCCAGTGTAATCAGTACAGGAAGTAAGGGTGAATCCCTCTAGGGGACTTGTGTCAGTGGGCTTTTCTTTGCTTCCAACAGGTTTTGCATTCCTATACAAGTCTATGGAAATGCACTTAAAGCAAATCAGGAAGTGAACTGCAGGTTATATATACCTATCAATGTTTTGTCTGCTGTATGCCAGCATACTACAGGTCAGCTCCTTCTTCCCGGACCCCATAACTATCCTGGTGTTTGTTTACATCCAGTACATCAATCCAGCCGTGACCTTGGATGCCTGTTTACATCCAGTACCTCAATCCAACGGCGGGCTCGCGTTTTTGTTTACATCCAGTACCTCAATCCAACTGCAGCCTCGTGTGTTTGTTTACATCCAGTACCTCAATCCAGCCGCGGCCTTGAGTGTTTACATCCAGTTCCTCAATCCAGCCGCGGCCTCGGGTGTTTACATCCAGTACCTCAATCCAACCGCGACCTTGGATGCCTTTACATCCAGTACCTCGATCCAACTGCAGCCTCGTGTGTTTGTTTACATCCAGTACCTCAATCCAGCCGCGGCCTTGAGTGTTTACATCCAGTTCCTCAATCCAGCCGCGGCCTCGGGTGTTTACATCCAGTACCTCAATCCAACCGCGACCTTGGATGCCTTTACATTCAGTACCTCAATCCAACGGCGGGCTCGCGTTGTTGTTTACATCCAGTACCTCAATTCAGCCGTTACTTCAGGTGTTTGTTTACATCCAGTACCTCAATCCAGCCGCGGCCTCCAGGGTGTTTACATCCAGTACCTCAATCCAGCCGCAGCCTCCAGTGTGTTTACATACAGTACCTCAATCCAGCCGCAGCCTCCAGTGTGTTTACATCCAGTACGTCAATCCAACCGCAGCCTCCAGTGTGTTTACATCCAGTACCTCAATCAACCCGCGACCTCGGGTGTTTGTTTACATCCAGTGCCACAAGTCTTCCCTCTCCTGGCCATGCCAGCACACAGACTTCCATGGCGCCGTGCCCTGAGGCCGGAGACAAAAGTCTACTGGGCTGTAATTTGTTGGCATGGCCAGGGAAGTGAGATTTGTGGCTCTGGATGTAAACACCAGAGGCCACGGCTCCCAGATTGAGGTAAGTATAGATCTGTGGAGAGGGGGGGTGTGGTGTTAGATTAGGTCAGGGCAAGTCTTAGGTCTCGTTCACACCTAGGCGTATTGCATATGCGCGTCTGTCGCGCGGTTTTTTACCGCGATTCGCCGTAAAAAAAGTCGCACAGCCGTCGCGCATTTCCGAAGGCTACTTGGCTGTATCCCAATGGAAACACGCAACAAAACGGCCCAAAGTAGTACCTGTACCTTTTCAGGCGTGGGCCGTTTTATAGCGCGTTAGGGACGGGCAGAAATACGCCAAGGTGGGAACTATATTTTTGAGCGTTTTGTAGAGCGTTCGTCGAGAGTAGAACGCGCTACAAAACGTTCAGGTGTGAACGAGGGCTTAGGCTTCATTCACACCAAGGAGGTGCGATTTGGTATTCCTGCATCAGGAACTTGCTATTTCCTGCACTTATCCTTTAATGTTAAATATCTGTCCGGTGCAGGAATTTTGGGGAATGTTCATTGCGCAATCACCACAAAGACGCAGATCACACAACTGTCACTTTATTTAACAATCACTTCATAAATAACACATCCCAGAACAAGAGCGGCGGAAGGGGCAGGGATGAGGAGGAGATGCGGAACTGACTCGCAGCCACGTCCCCGCTGGTCCCAGTGTATCACATATATACATACATAGAAGTCAAGGTTTCATTTCTAAGGTTGGGTCCTCCCCGTGGAGTCTTCAGAGCGGATGGACCCCCTCCGGATGTCACCCCATAAAGAGGAGCAATGTACAGTCTCTAAGATGTGGATGTCGGTGGGTTCAGATAATCGACGTACAGCTTAGCTGGGAATGTTTGACCAACAGAACCAGGAGAAAAGATTGGTGGCGCTGGTTTCAGTTGGAACATATGGGTTGGGTCAGCAAAACGGATTTTAATGGCGGAGTCCACCCAGAACAGATTTCTAAGGCTGAGGAGCTTGAGTCACCCATTGGCTTCTCCAATAGTGGGACATTCTGGGTTCCCAGCTCCGCCCCCATGCTGTAATGAAGCTCAGAAAGGAGTCTTCCCTCCTCTTACTTCCTCCTCTGTACTATGGAAACCCCTTTGTAGTGGCTACAGCATGTGAGCGGGGCTAAGAACTCAGAAGATCCCATCATAAGACGTTGGTGTGGGTCAACCCAACCTGAAATAGTTTTGGGTGGACTGACCCTTTAATGATACATTTTCAGGGTGATGTCATGGGTACGTGTCTGTGCTTTGTGGTGACTGTCCTCAGAGTGGTTGGGGGGGTTACATGAAGGAGACACAACCGCGGCGGTGGAGGAGCGGCATGCTCAGCGAACCATGTACTCCTTCCTCTTGTTCATCCGCACTTGGCAGAAGGACCAGCCGCCCAGGACGACGTAGATGGCGGCGGCGATGAAACAGTTATAAGAGACTTGCTCGTACAGGGCGTACATCTTGGTGGGGGGCTTGTTGCTGTAGAGGAGGAACCACATGGAACATTAATCAGAACCCTACAAACCAAAAACTATCCTTTATTTGCCCCCAACACAGAGCCACCCTATACTTACTCATCAAAGAGGTCACTCTCGGTGAACGGGATATCCTCTATGAGTACGGCTGAGTGGACGTTGAAGAAAATACCCAACAGGACCTGGAATACAAAAGTGTTTTCATTGGTCATAACATATTTCAGGCATTTGGAAATGATACAGTCCGCTCTGATCAGTTACAGAACCTACTAAATACCTTGGGGTGTATATACCCAGGTCCCCCCGTGCCCCCCTCTGCCCATTTAACAGCCAGGACCTGGCTGTCCCTTTAACTCTCTCTCAGGAGCACCAACATCAGCTCCTCTATGAACAGAGCTAGCACAAAATATTTGCAGGTGCCACTTTTTTACACTGGGGGACATTTATCGATTCTGTCACGCGGCGAGGCGATGCCGGTGTTCTATCAAAGTTTGTGACTGCGTTAGAATGTGTGACCGGTCACGTGGTCACACATTTTAACATAATCCCGCCCATTTTTGCGGCAGTGGAATATGTGACCGGCAAAAGGAGAATTCCAACGCTTTCTCAGCTGTTCCAGGGCAGATCGGCATCGCAGATCATACGTGCAGGAGAACCCGATCTGCCCTGGAACAGCTGATCGGTCCTGAAATGTCACTTCTATCCGACTATATGGAATGTGAGATCGCACGCACAGAGTCGGATAGAAGGGACATTTCGGGACCGATCATCTGCGATGCTGATCTGCCCTGGAACAGCTGAGAAAGCGTTGGAGTTCTTCACGTTTTGCCGGTCACGTATTCCAATGCTGAAAAAGTGGGCGTGATTACGTTAAAATGTGTGACCACGTGACCGGTCACACATTCAACCCAGTCACAATCTTTGATAGAACACCGGACAGGAGCAGCGAGACGGACTGTGCGGCAGATTTACTACAAAGCAACAGCTTGAGTCAGAAATTCCTTCCTCAGTTAATCTAAAGTCGCCCCATGACAGAATAAAACCAGCCGCAGACCACTTCTGAAATGTGCGTCTGTTAAAGTACATGTGAGGTCCAATAAAGCCCAGCAAAAAACTTTGGAATGGTCCAATAAGCGTCCTTTTATTGGAAATAATATTTGCACATTTTTGCAGTCATGTGACCTCACGGCCGCTCTGCCTATCCCTTTTCCTGAGTGACGGGGGTGTGTCTGTAATGCTTGAGGGCGGCACGACATGCGTGACAGCGAGGACATGTGTCCCCCGTCTGTCATTGGAGCAGAGCAGGGACAGGTCAGAAAGCTGAGGGGTGCTACCTGACTAGCCCGGTACAGATCTGCCATTGTGCTTGGCGTGCTCAGACTGCTACAGGCAACCGGCAGGATCAGCGGGTATCTGGTACCAATTACTGCAACTACCTGAATTAAAGGAGCGTGTAACAGAGTTCTTATAGACAGAGGAATGCACTCAGAGATTCACTTCGCGAAGTTTATTCACTCCATGTGAATGTAAGTCAGAACTTTGTGAATCTGTCACATTTTCCTGCCTAGGATTCCGGGCACCGGGGGTTGTAAAGAGAGAACAACAGACAACCTCCCCCCAGTACTCCTCTCCGGAGCCCTCAGCCCTGACGCAAGCAGTGGGCGGGCACTTGGGAGGAGATATGCAAATATCAAAATTGCCTTGATGGCTGGATGTCAGTCTGGAGGAGGCGGCTCACTCCTTCAGATAGTCCCCGTCTATACCCCACCCCCTCCCCATCTACACCCACTCAGGCGCCAACCTCTGCCCGCCTACAGCCAGCCTGTGCCAACCTCTCCCCCCCTACACCCAGCCGACCTCTCCCCCCCTACACCAAGCATGGAGACGGCTTCCCTGCTAATCAGGAAGCCGGGCAGCGAGTCATTACACAGTTCCCCTAATAGGACTTCCGGTATCGGCGAGTACAGGAAAAAAAATATTGGTATCGATACCGAAAAACCGATATCTGCCCCATACAGACCCTTACGTGTCTATTTCATGGCGCCCATATTCATCCCGCATACACAGTATGAACTTCATTGGAGGTAAGTTTGGATTTGACATTCCCTGCCTCTGTAATAAGTGATCACATGACAAGCGGCGGGGAGAAGGTTATGTTTTGGGTACGAAGTCCCTTCCCCCGGCACAGAAAACACCGGCCCAGCGTGCTCTCCTACTGGTCCCATCCAGATCGCAGCGTCCGTGTCCTGTGCGTGTGCCCTGCAGTGTTTGTATGTACACATGGAGGTGTTTACTGTCCACAAACACGCTGCAATCTCCCATAACACCCCACTCCCAACTGGTCCATCAATTAACCCCTTCATGTCTGCACCAAATGTATGACACTGTGACCACAGCCGTTCAAATCTCAAATCAAATCCTTGGGGGGTTTTTTTTCACCCGTCGGCTACAAAGTGCTCAGTGACCGGTGAACGCGATTCACACAACACAGCCAGGCGGTCCCCGTCATGTGATCGCGGTCACCACATTGGCACAGCAAGAGCACTGTGTGCGTCGGTGCAATGCTTGTCCGCGGGTATTATAAGCTTAGATAAGAGCCCCAAAGCTAGCATGTAGAGTGTGAATTTATCAACGGCAGCTTCCACCAAGGGCTCTGCACACAGGTACCCCCAAGGACAACATCTGACTCCAATTACGCCAGGATTTGGTAATCTTCGCTGCTTGCAGACATTTTGGAGAAGTGCGGAGGGTCACATGACGGCTCGGGATGGAAAAGGGAAGTGACAGAATGATTCACCTTGCCCCCCTCCGATATGGAAGTGAACGGCGGCCCCTGAAGCCTCTGGCAAGGATGCACCGGAGCCGACACAATCTGGAGCAGCTGCCCATGGCAACCAATCAGCTTTCATTTTTACAGCTTAGCTAAACATGCTGAAAGCTAGAATCGGTTGCCATAGGCAACTGCGCCAGATTGTGATAAATTCCCCTCATTGTATATAGCATTATATAGAGCTATACAGTGTGTATATATAAATATGTATTGTATACAGACACATAAGGACCCCCCTCCCCCTCTATAGACAGATAATATACATTGTATACAGATATACAAGGACCCCCTCCCCATCCATATACACTGTATACAGATATATAAAGGACCCCATCCATAAACACTGTATACAGATATATAAGGACCCCTTCCCCATCCATATACACTGTATACAGATATAAGGACCCCCCTCCCCATCCATATACACAGATATACAAGGACCCCCTCCCTATCCATATACACTGTATACAGATCTATAAGGACCCCCTCCCCCATCCATATACACTGTATACAGATCTATAAGGACCCCATCCATATACACTGTATACAGATCTATAAGGACCCCTCCCCATCCATATACACAGATATATAAAGGACCCCCTCCCCATCCATATACACTGTATACAGATATATAAGGACCCCCTCCCTATCCATATACACTGTATACAGATCTATAAGGACCCCCTTCCCCATCCATATACACTGTATACAGATATATAAGGACCCCATCCATATACACTGTATACAGATATATAAGGACCCCTTCCCCATCCATATACACTGTATACAGATATAAGGACCCCCCTCCCCATCCATATACACTGTATACAGAAAAATAATGACCTCCTTCCCCCTCTATTCAGAGATCAGGTCATCCATATATACTCTGTACACAGACATGTCACTCTCCTCAGACAGGAAGTAGCCGGTCCTTACCAGCATAATGACCCCCCAGATGCTGAGAACGATCCCGCAGGCGGCCAGCTTGGGCCCGCAGCAAAGCAGAGAAACCATGACACCGACCAGTCACACAGAGCCGCTAGATTCGACTGAGCACCTACAGCCGCAACCTCACCGATCAGCTGACTCGGGCCGCGCTCTCATTGGCTGAGGAGGCGGAAGAAGGGGCCGCGGCCTTCGAACGCCATTGTGAGTGGGGGCAGCCGAACGGGAAAGGGGAGGGGACAAACTAGTGGGGAAGGCGACAAGGCGTTCATCACATGACAGCCGGGCAGGTTCACGTGATGGATATGATTGCGGGGCAGGAGGTAGCTGTTTATACAATAGGGGCAGTCAGAGGGAAAGAGACTGAAAACTTCTCTGGCTAAGGTAGGGGGCTGACACAGGGCGACTGCATGCATTTCAACTTAACTGCTACTGTGTGCAGTTAATCTGCTGACTGTTGACACTTGAAAGTTAGAGCAGCCATGACAGATATACATTCACGTTGTGTGCACCAAAGGCATTTAAAAACCCAGATATCATCATTT